TATATATATATATATACATTTCTGAATGGCCAACTGTATTTGTTATATGTTACATGGAACCTGCTATAATGCATGCTCATATATCAGGACAGTATGAAATAGCGGTAAAAAATATCATATTTTTAGCGGAATCAATTGCTGTTATTTGTAGCCACTGATATTTTATTTTGCTAAAAAGTTCAAAATTGTTTTGCTACCCACAATTATTTTCTTCTATTTGCATTTCTTAACTTCTGCCTTCTTTTCCAATAGAAGGAAAAAGAAATCAAAAGGTCGTCGTGGCGGCTCTGCAGCAGATAAAATGAAGACCGATCTTCCTGCAAATAGGTTGGCAGCCTGATATAAACCCTTAAACTTCTTGATACCGTTTCGTTCATTCTAATGTGAATTCTTCGATGTACCGGCAGCCCGGATCCTATCATCAAAACTGAATCAAATGATAAGTCTTCTAAGCGTAAAGGGAGGACACCCTCTGTTAATGTCCCTGATGATGAAACTCCTAAGAAAGCCACCAAAGGAAGAAGAAGATCTGCAAACAGACATCCAGACAATACCCAGAAAGACAACAATGAGCTAACTGAGACCACTGACAAGTCTGTCAGCGAAAAATTACCTCAAAGTACTGCTAAGGCAGATCCATCCAAATCTGCTGACAAGGTTGACAACGATAAATCCAAATCCGGGGACAAGGTTCGCTCCACTCTAAAGATTCGTCGTAAATCGGATGGAGACTCGTCCATATCCAACACCAAGTCCAAGGGTGTCGGTCCCAAGTCCCCAAAGAAATCAAAAGATGAAGACTCTCTTAAGACTAAATCTTCCACCGAAGGCCGTCAAAAATCCGGCGGGAGATCGGCAAAGGGCTCAAGCAAGAAAGTGCGGGGCGGCTCAACCCCCAGAATCAATAGAAATTTGAATGCGGAGGATGCGCCCAAGAGTGATCAGGCAAAAGTTGAAGAGGTGGAACATCGAGGCACAACTGGGAAGAAACGCAAGCGCGGACGGCTTGGCAGGTAAATCATGGTGGCCTGTCTTTCCATTTGGAGTAATGTGTGGCCTCTTTGAATTTTCAGGGGTTGAGAATCTGCTGTTTTCAGCTAATTAAGGGCTTGTTATATTTGTATGTTTCTTTTTTTTTAATCTCTTTCAGATTTAGTTTAGAAGATGCTAAGCTCTCCATATGTGATATGTTTAAATTCTAGTTTATGCTGATCCATGTTCTGTGGGAATTAGTAGTTACTATTTTGGGTTTGCCTGACCTATTTTGCAATATTATTTGTAGCCCCATCAAGATGTGAAAGATCTATAGTGATTTTGCTGTTAAATTGCTGCTGATTTTTTATTTTAGGGCATTTGCATACATACCACCAAATTCTTATGCATCTTTACCCTAAACACCTAACTCTTTTACAGTTATACCTCCCAGATTTTTTTCATATCACAAAAAAATACAACTGTTTTGATTTCTAAGAAAGTCAAGTACACCTTTTTTATGTAAAAATTAAAGTTTAGGTGTTAGCTATGTAAATACATAAGAATTAAGTGGTATGTATGTAAATTTTTTTTCTTCCATTTTCTCTCCTAGCATAGTCATGCAATGGTCTTAAATAAGGGATCTGAAATTTTTTGCCTGAAGATGGATGATTGTTCAAAACCTTGACTGGATTTTGAAATAGATTGAGCTTTTGATGGAGATGGGTGAGCAAACTGAAGAGTCAGATTTGGCTTACTTTGAATGGATTTGGTTTGTGGTTTATATGTATGATAAATGTATAATATGTTTATATGGTTTAGTGATGCTTGCAGGGATATAGTTTCTGAAGGAAAAATCAACTGGAGCTTTAATCTTGTCTTACTTGAAGCTAAAATGCTGATTCTTGCTTGAATATGTTCTTTTAAAAACAATTTTAGGTTGTTCTTATTGTTTTATTTTATATGTTTTTGATAGAGTGATTGGTTGTGTTAGAAGCCTATCCTTGAATGTCTTTATTAATGGGCATTTACATGCATAACACCCAATATCTATGTATTTACATATCCAACTCCTAAACTCTATTTTTTATATTTCACTCAAATCCTTCATTTCCCATAAGTGCTAGTTTTTAAATTTTTAGAATATATATAAATAATTTAATGTTAGATATGAATTAATTTAGTTTTAGTGAATGATGCCACTAAAATATTTTTATAAATTAGATCCTTAAATGTATTCAAATGTTTAAAATGTGCATCAATATTTTATAATACTAGAACATCATCAATATAAGTTAATATATATAGTTAAAATATGGATTGAAATATATCATTTATGATATGTGGGATCTCATATGAGGCATTTTAAGATTAAAATTGTATCACATTCCATTTGTAGGGTCTAAACGGTGATGTAAAGTCCATTTACTAAGAATATTTAGTTTGAATTTTCCACTGTCATGATTTAAAAATATCTTAGCTTTTGCTAATCTATTAAGCAAATATCTTCTATGTGCGATTGTATATCTATTCTACTTTAAAACAAGTGGTTTATAAATTATAACTAGGCGAGATTTTTCTCGTTCTTCTCGTTCTTTTTCTGCAGTATTCATTACATTAAAATAATGTTCACATCCATGGAGAATAGGAATATTGTTTTCATTGAAATTACATTCGTACGGTAAGACTACACGGTGTATTTTACGATTTCAAAAGAATATGAGATTATCTTCTACACATAGTACTTTAAAAATCCTTTAGAATAGAATTTGAATGTTTTTATTTTATGTCATGTTCATTTCATTTGAAGTGGTCTCTTTGGGACCAATTATAAATTGGAGGTAGCTCATTTATTCTATACCATACATTCAATTCCCATTTCATCAATTTTAGTGATTGAGATAATTTTTGTTTAAGAATGGTGTTTCTAGAATAATATGCTTGAGAAATTGGTAAGCAAAGAACTTTTTTTGTAGATAACATCATTTGTTATTATGTATTTTATTTGGCTTTTATTTTCTATTGCAAAGATTAATTTTTTAATGGTTATTTTCAAAATATTTAAAGGGTATAATTCCCTCGTGTCTGCATTTCATACTGACACCACAATCTACTAAAGTCGTAAGATTTTTAATTATGAATTCCTAGTCTTTAATTAGTTTAATGGAAATTTACAATTTATGTATTATAGCTTTTTATAGTCATTGTAAAGGGATATTATTTTTTAGATCCTATTCTTCTTGTATCTCTCTATTATTTTCAACTTCTAAAGTGAGGTAATTCTCAATTTTTAGATTTATTAGCCTATTATAAGTATCATTTTGATTAGCTTTAATTAAGGTGATTTCTCTTTTAAATTGATTAATTTCAACTTTCAAATATGTTATGGTACTTTTTGATTCGTATCTCCTACTGATAAGATCAAAAACTTCTTTCATGAAATATGATGTTGATTCTTTTAATTCAAAATCATCATTTTTCTTATTATTTTTATGATCATTAACTTGAGCTAGAACTTAGATTATTTGATTTTTCTAATCATTTGTTAGGACATTTTTATAATATTTTTGTAAGTCTTTTTGTTCACTGCTAGTACAATAATTTTCATTTTGTGATTTTGAAGATAAATCAAAAGATATTATTTCTTTTTTATGTTTGTTTTAACCATTTATATATTTTTAATTTGTTTAATTTTTTCTTCTTTATGAATTTAATTGCATGATGTCCTATTTTTCTATGTTTATTAAATTTTATTCGAGAAATTCTTTTCTTAATTTCTTAGAAAAATAATCTTTAGAATGAGATGAATTATCTTCTCTCTATATATTTTTTCTTCTTGAATTCTTTATCAATAATCTTTAGAATGAAAAATAATCTTTAGAACTGAGTTTATGTATCAATCCAATGAGAAACGGGTGAACTCAAAAATTTACATAATAAACTCAATATTGAGAGGGTTAGAAAAACCTCATTGATGTTATTCACTGAAGTTACAAGAGAATCTCTGAGTTTTCACCCACTTTGAATACCGGCAATTATAAGCACAAAATTTTTCTCCCTTAGGAGAACTCTCACACACACTCACACTTTTTTAGGATCCCTTCAGCTAAGCATGTCGAATGTGGTGAGCATTCTCTTCAAAATCTTGTATTCTATCCCTCAATACTAAGTTTTAGAATACTTTATAATGACCAAATCTCTCCAAATGGTTTTACTGGTACATGACACAACGCCTTGGCCCTAAAAAATGGCTCCTAGGTGTTATAGCTGGTTCTAGGCACATAGGCGCCCATGACTGGTGCTTGGTGACTGGTTTATCCTTGTTTAGCTCGATTTGAGTCTATCTCATCTCCTTCACATGTACATTGTGTATAAAACGACGAATAACATGAAAATTATTAAAATACATAAATAAAAATATCATAAAAATAACTTGCATATTTGATATACATCAATGATTCAGCTCGATTTCTGAATATATTTTTAAACCAATTTGATTGCAACTATTAATTATATTTTGATATATTAATATTTCATACATAATGATTCCAGTTAAAATCTATGAGGACTCTTTTTCCTTTTCAATAAAAAGGTTATGGAGTCCTTTAATAAGTATTTTTTTTTCAATGCGATTAACCATCATAGAGCTGTATTGCACACTTATAAACACATCTTTGCACCATCTCAAATGTGTTAGTAGTGGATATCTTATATTTCCTAATAATGATTTTGTTTTTTCACCATTATTACGAACATTTCCTATAAAATATTCTAAAATTGTAATTATGTGAGTAAACTACTTCCATAATAGGAATGTTAACATCTTATAACTTTGTTTTTCTTAACAAATTTTATTTTTATTCATCAGTGAGATAATTATCTCACAATCTTTTACTAATAACCTTAAACTCACATGTATTTATTTTGGCTAAAAGAACCTAAATTTCATTTTAATAATGTTGTTGTGGTATATATAATTATTTTATAGAGAGTCTCTTGAGTTTGAGTCTTTATTTATCTATCTATATTCTAATCATAAACTTAAGTGACCTCATAAACATGTTGATATTGCACATTATTTTCTTCAAATAAGACACATTGAGGAGTTGACATTATATCATAATATTTATCTAAGGGACTCTTTTGATATTTTATTTTACTTATTTCTAAAAAAATTAATTCTAAATCATTAAATTGATCATGGAGATTATTGATTTTTTAGTAAGATAATGCATCAATTGATTCTTTTTCTAAAGTCCTTTCTTCAAATTCAAAGTTAATTTCTTATATTGTAGCAAAATTATTATTATTTCATGAAAATATTGCATATTAGTTCTAAATTAATGTTAAATTTAGGATGTAGTTAAATAGCTTGATCTTCTCTATCAATATATAATGATTGACTTATTGAACCTTTAGTTTGATATTTTTTGGAACTTTTTCAAATATTTTTTTCTGTTTTATTTTCTATCTAAGATAAATGCCTAAGCATAATTTATAAAGTAGTATTTGTATTATTCAATTATTTTATGATATTTTTGAATTAATTTATGGCTGTTGTTTTGGTACTAATTTTACCGAAGGCTGAAATTTCTATATTTTTTAATTTATTATTAATATTATTTTTTATGATTGGGGGATAAATAGATTCTGGGTCCGTTTGGAACAGCTTGTGCGCTTTTGGATAAGCTGTTTTTCCCGAAACGCGGCCCACGGGCCGGCTGCAAGGGTCGACCCGCGGCCCACGTTTAGTGTAAAAATTCAAACGCAATTTCATATAAGCTGACAAAACGCGCGAACCAAATGGTTCGGCGGCGTTTTGAAAATGCCACTCGCACTTATAAGCTGCCCCAAACAGACCCTCTATCATTCATCCTTTTTCATTTTGTCATTTTCTTTTAATCATGATAAGATTTAACTTATCAAAAAAAATATAAGATGTACCTTATCAAAAAAATATAGTGGTACATTATTAAGTATATTTTTTGAAAAATCATATTACAAATGAAATGATAGATGTACATTGTCATTAATATTTGCTAAATCTTCAAAAAAATATTTCAGTGATTATTTTTTTCTCTTTGATTTGGTAACTTTAATGTACCACTATAAATTAGGAATATTTTGGTTTTTGAAAATTCTTAATAAGAATTTTTCTACTTTTACTTTTTAGTTCGTAATTCATTTAAATCTAAAATTTATTTCAGAGTGAGTCTTATTCTCACTGTATGTAATATTTGATTATTAATGAATTGAACATTATTAACTACTTACATTGGTGGTTGTTCTTCTATTTTAAGAACTCGATCATTC